GGGGCGGCGGCGGTGCGCACCGCCTTCACCGACCCCCCCGAGCAGGTGCCCGAAGCCGTCTCCAACAAGAAGCGGTGCGTGAAGGTGCTGAAGCAGGAGCTGGGCGGGTTGGGCATCAGCATCAAGGGGGGCAAGGAGAACAAGATGCCCATCCTCATTAGCAAGATCTTCAAGGGGCTGGCGGCCGACCAGACCCAGGCCCTCTACGTGGGCGATGCCATCCTGGCCGTCAACGGCACCGACCTGCGGGATGCCACCCACGACGAGGCGGTGCAGGCGCTCAAGCGGGCCGGCAAGGAGGTGCTGCTGGAAGGTAGGGGACCGGGGGACGGACAGACGGCACGTCCCGCCAGCGCGTCCCGGGGCGGGAGGCTTGGGGACAGGGCGGCTGGGCTGTCAAAGAGGCGGCGGGGCCGAGCCGGGCTGTGCGTGAAGAGCTGCCCCCGCGCTTCTCCTGCCGCTCCCCCGGGCGGCTTTCCAGCGGGGAGAGTTTTATTCCCCCGCACCCCGAGCCGCGCCGGGACTCCCGACGGCGGGCGTTAGGGTCGTAGACCCTCGGGAAGGGACCAGCCGGCTGCCGGGGAGCGGGGCTCGAACTTTCCGTCCTCTCACCGGCCGCCGGAGCCCTCCCCGCGGCCCCGTCCGTGGGCGGCCGCCCCTGCCCCTCGCAGTCCCGTCTCGTCCCGGCGGCGGGTGGGCTCCCCGGCTGAGGGGCTGGCGGGGGGAGCCTGGCCCACCCCCGCCGGGGCGACAGAGCTTCAGGATCTGCCGCCTGGACGTTTCGGCGGCTTTTCAGCCCAAGAAAAGTGGGGGGGAGTTGGGTGCCGAGAGAGGAGGGGTTAACGGAGTGCAAGAGCCCCCTCGGGCCGTAAGCGAAGGGTTTGGGTGACTTTTCCCGAGCTCGGGAAACTCCCCCGCTGTCCAGTTCTTCCTTGCCCCCTTCCACCACCCCGCTCCCGACTAGGAAAGAAGGGGAGAAGAGGCTTGAATGAAGCTGGTGGTGCCTCACTGACACGTTAACCATCCCCGCAAGCAGCGGCTTTCCTTTCCTTTCTCAAGGGTGACTGAAACAGTTTTGCAAGAAGTAGCCTTAGAAACCGAGCCCGGCGTGGGCGGCAGATGTTGGAGGAGGCGTGGAAGGACGGTGTCCCCCCAGAACGGGTGGGATGTTGGGGAGGGCGTGAGCAAAAGCAGAGCCGGGTTCCCCGGGACAGCGAGTTCATGAGGAGGGAGGCGTTCGCAGGCATTTCATCCTGGTCTGTTCACAAGGGCTAATTTACGTGCTCCACCTGAGAGAATGAACAGCTTCAGAAATGCCCTTGGCGCGTGTTTGATAAAGTGATTGCGTACTTCCCCACGAGTTCGTTTAACCAGAGGTCAGTGGCATCTGAGGCATGCTGCTGCGCCTTCTTCCCCTCTGTCATCACCTTCCTCCCAGCCACAGGCACTCCCACCTCGCTGTCCCTGTAGCCCTTTTCGGTACCACACATTTTTTTCACGTGTATCTTTCTGGTGCTTATTCTGAGGAGCAAAGGAGGTGCACAACCAGCTATGACATATAGTGAAGGAAAAAGTTTGAAGGGGAGGGAAGGTGAGAAAACATCATCCACGATAGTGTCTGCTGAGAAACTGTTTGGTGTTGTCCACATGACAGTGAAAACTGTGAAGGGTTAGTGTCCTGAGAGGGCTGAAGAAGCTGAGGGCAGTTGCATGGGGGATGCTGCCTGCCTGCCCCGGGCTGCTCCTGGTTCCAAAGTGCATCTTGTTCCAGCCAAACTGCTTATGAAGATACCTGTGAGGTCTTAATATGAACTTCTCTTTGAGGCCGTTGCATCTAAATTCTGTCACTGGTCTGTTTACACAGTTTAAGGGCTTCCTGGGGTGCAGGGCAGGTACCAGCTGACCTTTGGTGGGATCTAATGAGTAATGTATATAGTGCCTGCAGCAGTCCCTCTCCTTCTGTGTGGTGCCTGCAGTAACAGCACCTGAACAGTGGACACTGCTGCTGGATGAGTCTTAAAAACCCCTCAGTTTTGTTCCCATAGGAGCAAAGATGAACCCGTTTCAGCGTGGACTCTTAGCACCATCCTTCTCTCCACTCCTTTGTCATCTGGCATTTTTTTGCTTGGCAAAGGCTGACGTGTCTCAGTGGTTCTTTCTGTGACTGAATTTGTCACTTGTAAATCAAGAGCATATTTCAGTGGTCACCCCTGTGTCGAGTTAAAATATTCTGACACTGAACTCAATATTTTGTCCTGCCTTTCTCTTGCTATTTCAGCGGAATAACCAAAAGGAGAGTTGGCCGCAGCATTGCCCCAGGAGGTGCTACTCCTTCAGCAGGGAACCTCTCTATGTGAATGGCTTCTGTAAACAGGCAGTTTAAAACAATTCCCTGCAATTCAATTTCCCACTTTGAAGCTCTTTCTTCAGTAGTACAGTCTAAAATGGTCTTTTTATTACTAAAGGAAGGAAAAACCAGAAGTTGTTTTTTTTTTTCCCCTTTAAAGTACAGGAGGGAAAGCCTTGATTTTCCTTTCCTTTCCTTTCAGACAATAGGAATTTGCCATTTCCTGACTTCTTAGAGAGTTATATATTGCAAAAAGCAGCCTGTGCCAGGGCAGGGCAAGACCCCTGCGCAGCTTCTCTCTAGGATCTTTCTCCAATTAACAGAGCAAGGACAGCCTGTGTTTCCAGGGTCAAAATGTAACGTTCACATTTTCAGGGAGGTTCTGAGACTTGCTTGTGACTTCCAGACCCGGAAAGATGAATTTGCAAAGATATGGCAAGGTGTGAAGCGGGAGGGACACATTTTACAGTATTGCCCAATGCTTTCTGTGTTCCTGGAAAGGGTCTTATGGTTGAGTATTTCCTAGAGGTTATCGGCAGTGGCGATGTGGTCAGTATGGCTCAATACACCCGACAGCAGAGTGCTGGAGCCCGTCTGTTATATTGCTGAAATTGCTTGCTCAGTGAGATGAGGCATTTACCAGCTCAGCACTAAACTGTAGTCTCTCCTGCATTCCTGTGCGGGGAGGAAGGGAGCGGAAAATCCCTCCCCAAGCTGCACCACGCGTGGGCGGCAGGGCTGGCACTGGGGTGGGTGGTGGGAGGAGGAAGGTCTATGAAGAGGGGAAGGGATGGGGCAATGCTTTGTTTGCTCAGTTCTCCCTTTTGCTCCATTGATCATCGTCTCTGAGCTGGCAGAGACAGGAATTATTTTCTGAAGGGTTAGGGGTGGCATAGCTGCAGTCATGGTGCTGGTGTGGGGTGGCACAGCTGTAAAGCCCAGTGGGATGGGTCCTACTCTAACAAGTTTAATAGGCATCCTGGGTTGTTTGGTCCTCTCATTTTACACCCTGAAGGACATCGTTCTCTTGCAGTCCTCACTTGCATAGTCCAGCTATTAAGTTAAAGTTGTATAAATCAGTTCTGTTTTACAGGTCTGATCTGTGGGGTTCGCCAGGGTGCCTTGAAATCAGGTTGGATTTGATAAATGGAAGGGAAATAAGTCAACAGGTGACACTGCCATAGGAAGAGCTGTAAGAAGGTTCAAGAGGAGAAGGAGGTGGTGGTGAGGAAGGGCTTGAACCCTGAGAAATCCTGCTCTCTCTTCATCTGCAGGGATGGACCTCTTCTGCCTGCAGGGTTTAATTCCCTATCTTTCCATCATGGCTTAGACATCGGTGGAGGGGAGCAAAGCAATGATCAGGGGCAGGACAAACACTCGTGTTGGGCTCGTCAGCCCTAGATGGCTTCTCAGGTGTTCAAGACATCAGGATGGAGCTTCTCACCAGTGTTCAGGAGTGCAAAGAATTTCCCAATGTGAAAGAAGAGATAGTCTCTTTGTACAGTGCATGTTTGCAGGCCTGGAAGGCAGCTAAAATTATGACAGTTAGTGTTTGTACATATAATTTCCCTGTGGTTTGGTTAAATTGGGTCTTCTTAAATAAGCACTTTGGAAAATCAAGCAGCCCCTCTTGTGCCATGTGAAGCACATTACATTCAAGTGACTCTCAAGACACAAAGGTGTTTGTTTTAATCAAAGCATCCTAGATGAGAGCAGTCCCTTGGTATGCTCTGTAACTGAGCTGGTTGTGCTTTACTCGTATTCTCTGGGTGTTCAGTAAAAAAATGAAAAATTGAAGTAGCCTTCAGGACACCACTGCATGATGCTGTATGTGAATGTGGAGGGAAAAAACCACTTTAGTGTGTTTTTTGCTAGCTAGCAGATATTTTTTTAGATTGTATCACTTCCAAACTCGAATGTGTGTGGAAAAGCTTCTTGATGATGATGGTGGAAGGTATGTAGCGGGAAAAGCAGCATCTTCTCAGTGCTGCTAGAGTTTTTTATTGGGCTTGAGTGATTCCCAGTTAAATTAACACAATTAAAAGGCGGGGGTTACAGCTCCCTTGAGAAGTGGCTCAAGGGAGCCTCTCTGGGCTTGCAGAAATTTCCCACAGAGAGGCAGCCCCCTGCACAGTGAATTTTAGCATATCAACAGTGGACTGCAGTCACCTTCCGTAGCCCTCTTGGGAGTAATCCACAGCTTTAAAGCAATGTAAGAATAAGCATGGTGCCATCTGTACCATAGTAACATGTATTATTTTCCAAATAATATTTCTGTAAGAATTTTCTTTGGATGAAGCAAAACGTTTCTGCCTGTATGAATTACATGCTGAATAGTGTAAAATAGGGTTACTTGTTGGCTGTGTTTTTCTATCTTATCTATGTTTTCATGTTTCTTTCAGTAATGTAGTGACAACAGGAGATTTCTGTGGGTTAACAAAATACAATATTTATCTAAGAAAGCGTGACTCTTGCAAGCATAGAAGAAAAATGAGGCACAGGGCACTTAATAAGTGCCTACGTGACATAACTACTTACTACAGTCAGGGCTGTAAATCTCAGTGATTGCAAATTGTATGCATAGTTGTTCGCGCTTCCAGTAAACATATGGAGAAAACACTTTACCTTTTTTTTTTTTTTTTGGTGCCAGCAAATATGCAGTTAGGGAAATGCTTTGTACTTAAAGGCCATACCATATTTCGTAGCTTGTGTAGCTGCTCTTGGCACACAGCAGTTTGAAAGTGAAATTGAAAGGGAAAGGAGCAGGTAATCTCATTCTCAAGAATACCAGGGCTAAGCAGTCCTCCGGAATGTCAGTTTTGATTGTTTCAGCTGCCTGCGGCTGCTGGGGAAGGTTGAGTGGGAACACTTGATGTGTCTTTCATTGATTAGATTAGATTACAGGCTAATTTAGCAGTCCAGACAGTCTGTATCACTTTTCACAGATAAGAATCAGTACATCCTCT